TTGTGCACACATTTTGAGAAACTATGAGAAGCACAGCTCAGGGAAGATAGTCAGTTGACCTTGTCTCAGTCCTTATGAAAATCATAGAGTTGGTCATCTTGGAAGTTGTTTCTGGGCAAAGGAAGGAGAAGATCATTTGAAATAGCTAGCATGGATTTACCAAGTGCTTGACTAATGGGATTGCCTTTTATGATGAGATGAGTAGATCTGTGAAATGGGAGCAAAACACAAGATGGTCGCCAACCTTGATGTTAGCAAGGGTTTTGAGCTCTTCTGTGGCACAATCCTTGTGCCATAGTCCAGATTGCTGTACTGATGGGTATGTAGGAAAACCGGATCATCAGGTATAAAGGGCAGTGCCTACTAGTTTGTATTCTACCTGGAGCCTGGTTGTAAGTGGTGTTCTTCAGATCCATCTTGTTTAATGTTGATGGCCTAGAGAGGATATGAGGACAGAGAGGACACTTATCAAGTTTGGCAACACTGAAGTACAGGGTGCAGACAGTACATGGGAAGGAGTATTCAGGAGGACTTATCCTAGAGGGGTGGTCTGATAGGAACCTCTTAAATTTCAAGGACATGTGCGAAGTCCTGTTCCTGGAATAGTTTAACTTCCTGCAATGATACTGGCTCCTTGAGAGTAAGGAAGACTTGCACTTTATTGGTCTGCATCAAAAAGAAAGAGCACAGCCAGGATATTGAGGGAGATCTTCCCCTCTGTTTGGCACTTGCTAGACAAGAGCCCTCAGCAAAATGTTCTGAATTTAGCACTAACCCTGTTCAGTGGAGGTGAGCCAAAGGACCTTCCGAGGTTTACTCCCACCTGAATAATTCTGTTATTCATTTAAATTAAATTTGAAGTTCTCAGAATGTGCCTCCTTTCATGTTCAGGTTGTTACTTTCAAACCTTAATGTTTGAGGAACTGTTCCAGGATATGCAGGTATAAACAAAGACATTAAATATATTTTTTTTTTTAGAGACTTTTTTTGTGTTTTGTTCCTTTGAATATTTGGTTAATACTTGTTCCTTAGTTTCTCATCCACACAGTGGGGATAATGTGTCCTGTTTGTCATGCTTTCTCACCCATGAAATCCTCTGTTTTGAAATCTTTGGATCTGCCTCAGAGCCCATTCGGTGTAAATTTGTGTCTTTGCAGAGTCAGTTAATATTTTTCAGCTCACCTACAATCTGTACAGATGCTCCCTCTCTTTGTAGGTCCCTGATCTCCAGCTGCACGGCAATATAAACATACTTTGGTGTATGAATTTCTCTCTGCTTTAGCTAGAGGATCAGTTAACTCTGGTTGCAGCTGTGTTGCCTATTTATTGTAAGTTTTCAGTGTCTTACTCCCATAAATGTTTTTGTAGTAAAGAGCTCCTCCTGAAAATCATTATTTGCAACTGTTGACATGCTCATGGGCAAACGGAGGTTACAGGTGACATCTCCCCCTTGGACCAGAGATGCTCTATCACTGTGCTGACCTGTGTCCAATGGCCGATCTCAAGTAGCTTCTTAGACATAAATGCAGAACGGATTGTGTTTGTATCCATTTCCCAAATGAAAAGTAAAACTTTAATAGTCCTGGAATCATAGAATAAGGGTCCATCAAGATCATCGAGTCCAATTCCTGGCCCTGTTCAGGACTCCCAAGAATCGTACCATGTGCCTGAGAGCATTGTCCAAAACCTTCTTGAACTCAGACAGGCTTGGTGCTGTGGCCACTTCCCTGGGGAGCCCAGTGCCCAGCCACCCTCTGGGTGATAAACCTTTTCCTGATATCAAACCTAAACCTCCCCTTACTCAACTTCAGGCCATTTCCTCAAGTCCTGTCACTGGTCACATGAGTAAAGAGATGCCCCTCCTCTTCCCCTCATGAGGATGTTGAAGACCACAGTGAGGTCTCCCCTCAGTGTCCTTCAGGCTGAACAGACCAAGTGCCCTCAGCTGCTCCTCATAAGGCTTCCCCTCCAGTCCCTTCACCATCCTCGTGGTGTTCCTTTGGACACTCTCTAGTAGTCTAATATCTTTCTTATGTTGTGGTGCCCCAAACTGCACACAATATTCAAGGTGAGGCCGCCCCAGTGCAGAGGAGAGCAGGACAATCCCCTCCTTCACCCGGCTGTTGATGCTTTGCCTGATGCCCCACAGACACAGCTGGCCCTCCTGGCTGCCAGGGCACTGCTGACTCATATTCAATTTGCCATGGACCAGGACCCCCAGGTCCTTCCTTATGGTGCTGCTCTCCAGCCTGTCGTTCCCCAGTCTGTGCACACAACCAGGGCTGCCCTGTCCCAGGTGCAAAATCCAGCACCTGTCCTTGTTAAATTCCATGTGGTAGGTGATTGCCCATCTCTCTAATTCATCGAAGTCTCTTTGCAGGGCCTCTCTGCCCTCAAGGGAGGGAACAGTCCCTCCCAGTTTAGTGTTGTTGGCACACCTCCTTAGTATTCCTTCAAGTCCTGCATCCAGGTCATAAATAAAGATGTTGAAGAGAACTGGGAGGAGGGTGGAGCCCTGAGGAACCCCACTAGTGACTGGCCACCATCCTGATGTTACCCCATTCACTATAACTCTTTGTGCTCGACCTGTGAGCAGGTTGCTCACCCATTACATAGCACGGTTATCCAGCTGTGTGCTGGACATTTTGTTTAGAAGGATCCTGTGAGAGACAGTATTAAAAACTTTGCTTAGGTCTAAAAATATGATATCCACCTGTTTCCCTTGATCAGCGAAGTTGAGAATTATTTTGTGGGGCTTCTCCTCAGGCTTGTTTGTTTTGTACCCTTCACTGCATTTTGGACACAGTCATTTTCATTGATTGGTGAGCCAAACACATCCTTTCCCATGCTGTTCAGGGAGTTTTGGGGGGAAGATATGTCAGTTAATGAAGGAAACTGAATAGGGAGACAAATATTGTAAATACTAAAAAGAAAGAAAAAGTGATATCTGTAGTTGTTTGGGTTTGGTTTCTTATTGCACAGCAGCAATGGAGTTTGCTAGTGCATTAAGTTAATAGGCAGAAACTCCTATGGTGTACATCATGATTTGCTCTGTAATCACTTTATATTATGTAAAAGCTTGCCATTAGCTGACCTTCAGCCTCTTCAGGGATTGAACAGTTATGCCTCCCCTATACCAATGTCATTTGCAGTTCCCGTAAAGTTTGCCTATTTCCAAAATCAATTCAGTTTTGATTCATCTGGGGATTAGATGCACTGTGAAGTGGTAATGATTTGAATAGTTATTGTTGCTTTCAGGGACTTACAAATTGTTTTTCCTCATCTGAATTCTTGGATTTAAGTGTATGGGAAATTGTATAGTGTTGCCAAACATGTTTGTTCACAGCTTGCACAGATCTATTTCAACCACTATTTCAAGTGTTTTAATAACTTTTGGGAGTAGAGACTGTGGCATTTGAGAAGTGTCTGTTAACATAAATAACAAACCTGAACACTTTCAGTTTGCGTGCTATTAACCAATCAATTGTACAGCCAGTGGTTATATTCCTTAGTCAACCTTAGTGTGTTTCAGGGTTTGCTGCAGGGAAGTGCAAATGTAAAAAGGCAACAGGACACTGAGCTGTTGTGGTTTTGAAATGGAAGCGTAGCTGAGGTTTCTTCCTGTCTTCTGGTTTCTATAGAGAAGTAATTTGTAAATGCTTCTAATTTATCACTGTGGATGCAGGTAAAACATGGAAATTTTTAAATTGTAGCGTCACAGTTTGGTGTGAATTGTTTTGCTTTCTCTTTCTATTAATGTTTCTAGTATACAGCTGGGGTTTTTTGGGTATGCTTTTTTAACTTCAAAAATTTTTACCTTTTCCACCACAGACAGTTTAGAGGGGTGTTACTGCTAAACCTTCCTGCACTTTGTTTATTGCTGTGTTTTAAATGTATGTTGCCAAATTTTGATGGTACAAATGCTGCCTTAACAGAACTGTTAGTGACTGTTGGAAAAGCACAATGCAGCACACGCAGTTGTGTTCGCACAAAGCAAAGAATAAACCTCTGTCTGTGAGTGTTCATTGATTTCAATAGGCTTTTCAGTAGCTCTGCATATTACAATTCTTAGCACCTAGGGTACATTCATATTCATTACAGCAGTACAGTTCAGCCCCTGCTCGTGACTTGATTTTTTTTCCTTTCCATTCCCTCTTCTACCAGAGCATGAAGTAGAATTATTTTTCTAGTACTAGTAATGTGTTATAGAAGATGTTGTTTATGGCTGTTTTCTCAAAATGATTGAAAATGCATCTTTTGGCTTCTTCCGTCTTGTAAGAAACATGTTAAATACTAGAAATGCTTAAAGCTTTTTGGAATCTTTTGTGATGACCCTTGTGGCTGTTGAGACTGAGAGGTGCTGGGCATGTATGGCATGCAATCGTTTGTATGAACAATTAGTGGAAGAACTGCTTGGTATGTAGTAGTCCCATCTTTTAAAAGTGTGGGTACTTGCTTTGTTATTTGACTGTACGGAGGATGGGGGGATTGGTTCCTTGGATGCTAGATAGCTAGCTGTTTAAAATGCTCTTTTTGTTTGCTTGTGACTTGGCTTTTTTATTTGAACACTCATTTAAACCAAATGGCTTCTGTTAGTCTGCCTGTATTTTATTGTAGTTGTCTGTCTTTTGAGGTCAGACTTACTGATATAATAAATGTGGGTTTTGCTTATGCATATAAGCAGAAATACTCTGCTTGAAAATAAAATTATGAGAGAATAGCAAATAATTCCTGTTTCTTTCACACATAACAAAATCTATGTTTTTTGCCTTTATCTCTAGTATGCAGTTAACATCCCTACAAAATAAAACAGGCTTCTCTTCATGAAAAAAGAAAGAGTACCTTTGACATTGTGAATTAATTGGACTCTTATGTTTGTTAGAATGACTTCATGTGTAAGATATCTGATATTCCAATAATGAGAAGTTCAGACAGCTATTTGGTTTGAGCATTTGATTAATGCGTTTAATATGTTAATATATGACATATTACCTTTGTAGATGAACCGACTAGTCCTAGTATTGACCATGATATTGCACACATTCCTGCTTCTGCTGTTATTTCTGCATCTGCTTCTCAAGCACCAGCTATAACAACTGTTCCTCCCAGTCCCACATCTCCAATCCCTTTAATTCGGCGACAGCTTTCACATGATCATGGTGAGCGTTGATTTCGTTCTTTTTCTCTTGCAACTTTTTCCTTTCACAATCTGGAGAATGGGAGTGAAAATTGTAAACTCTTTCTTGCTTGAAATAAATTGCAAAAATGTGATTCAGGTTCCCACACACTCAAAAATTTCCATTTGTTTGTAGAATCCATGCGGCCTATTGTTCTGGATAGCCAGCCTGCCGCAAAAACTGAGAGATCAAAGTCGTATGATGAAGGACTGGATGACTACAGAGAAGAGGGAAAATCGTGAGTTCATGAAAAATATCAATTAATTTGGACATCTGTTTTTTGAAGTGTGTAAAATCTCATTTTAACATTTTTTTTTTCTCCCAACAGATCCATTAAGCATGTATCTAGTCTAAAGGGGATTAAGGTAGGTAAATATGTGTATAGCAACTTGTAAACGTAACACAAGTTGTGTGAATTATACAACTCCATTATACAAAATGTGTTAAACAGACATGACGTTTATTGGAATCGCTACTCATCAAATTGTTCAGCTGTATGCATCACTTAAGTGAACATGGTCTCTTTTTCTAGACTCATCACATGGTCCTTGATTTTCATTTTCTTCAGTCTCTGTAAACAGAGCATATGTATGGTGGGCTTTTGTGAAAACATACTAATGAGAGTTTGAGAGTCCGCAAGTTTCTCTAAGTAGTCTTGGGATGTGTAAAGTCACTACTGATATATGGAAACTTTAGAAATTATGTTTTCGCAGAAGGATATTCCTTGGGGCATTTTTAAAGTGAGAAACATCTTGAACCTAGATACTTAGAGAAGTGTGTTTAGAAGTACATTGTGGGGTTCTTTCTGTGATGTTTTCTCTAGGTCCCAGACAGCCAGAAGTCTTCAGAAGACTCTGGTTCCCGAAAAGATTCTTCTTCAGAGGTGTTTGGTGATGCCTCAAAGGAAGGATGGCTCCATTTTCGTCAGCTTGTTACAGACAAAGGAAAGGTATCTGTTGTGTTTGGGTTTTTAACCTGGGAAAAATACTAAACTGGTGAAAAACCAAGATAAGAAACTAGAGGCCTTCCTGGTTTGCTTTTTTGATTTATTTTGGGGGGAATAAGAGCATCAATAAGATTGACAAAATGTTAGACCTGCTAGAACATCGACCTTAGTCAGCTCCTCAGCTTCTTTTACAGACTGCTTTCTAAAACTGTTCAAGTTTTACATTTCAAAGCATCTGTGAAATAAACTAATTCCTAATGATTAATTAAGTAGTAAAAATCAGTCCCTTGGTAGTTGTAGTTTATGGGGTTTTTTTCATCTTTGCTAATAAAGAAAAAGAGCTGTCATTTTTGTGAATGTTGCAGAATGAGTTCAAATTAACCTTCTGCACAAGTGTAGGCTAACACTTCAGGAAAATTGGAAGTCTGGAATTGCAGTGGTGTGAATAGGTGAGTCTGACTTGAAGGCAGTTTGAAAGGCATGGGTGAGAGTCCCCTAAATATTTCTTACTGTATTTGTATTAATGCCTCTGAAATGGTAGTCACATTCGGTTTCTTGCTACTCTCATGTGTGAACTCACACCTAATGGCTGGTCTGGGAGGGCAGATTATTGACCTATTCACTCCTCTAACAGAGAGCAATTAGTGAATCCCGTGTTTGTGTAGTCTTTCTGCCAGCATTCTTAAGAATGGTATAGACAGGTGGTTAATCTTTCTTTTTAAAACTTCTGGAGGTAGTTTTTGTAATCCTCAAATATCCTCTGTAACAAAGAAGCAAACTAACATCTGGGTTGATGTTTTTCAGCGAGTTGGTGGGAGCATTCGGCCATGGAAGCAATTGTATGTTGTTCTTCGAGGTCATTCGCTTTATTTGTACAAGGATAAAAAGGAACAAGTGACCCTGTCTGAGGAAGAACAACCTATAAGCATCAATGCTTGTTTGATAGACATCTCGTACTGTGAAACCAAGAGGAAAAATGTGTTTAGACTCACCACATCAGACTGCGAGTATCTGTTTCAAGCTGAGGACAGAGATAATATGTTAGCATGGATTAAAGCAATACAAGACAACAGCAACTTAAATGATGAGGTAATCATATGATACATTATGAAGAAGACATAGTTCTTGTCTTTTAATTAAAAAAAAATTGTGTTTTCTTAGTATTTGATCAGAAGAAATAATTTGTAATCAACTGGTAGACAAAAATGTGTACAGGAACATACAAGAAATGAGGTGAAAGGCAAGGTAACTGAGTAAAGAAATAGAGCTTAAAAAAAGGCAGACATAGTCATAATCAGAGAACAGAATTTTGAAATAATTAAAGTAATTTCTGATTTGACTAAAGATACACTTTATATTAAACTGATCTTCTAAAAGTCTCTAATATTTTTAATAGGTAATTGCAGGTTTAGTACCTGTGTGGTCTCTCTTCAGACTTGCATTGCAAAGTGTTGTGTGCATTAGTACAGTGTGACAAGTTTCTCAGTAGTTAAAAAGTGAAACTTTGAAGGATGCCTGTTTCTCTGATTAAATGCTGATGTTTCTGTGAATTAAGTTAATGCTAATTGGAAAAGGCAAACATCTGCTATTGTACATAAGGTATCAATATGTGTCCCAATATTGTCCTCAGTGCATTTTCTTTGCGGTTATGAGCAACAGAGGAATATTTTCCTTTCTGTGGTCATGCACATCTGCTCATATGCTAAATAATTACCCAAAGGAAAATGGCTTAATAAGCATTATTACATAAATGGATAAAAGCATATTTGAAGTCGTGGCTGTTTCAGCTCTACTTGTAGTAGCAATTAGTTATATAAGTACTGTGTGCACATAGGACTGGATTTTTCATAGTAGTATGTGCTGATTTGTGTTTTTCTATTTAAAGTTTTAGAAAGTTTAAGAAGATTTAATTCAATTATATTGCTTTGAAAAAAAAATCTAAATAGCAGTACTTAATTTGCAATTACTCACTTTAGTTTTCCTCATTATTTTTAAATGTTCTATCTTTACTGTTCTCAAGGACTGTTTCTTAGTATGTTTGGTTTGGTTATGGGCATGTTTTTTTAAAATGAACTGAAATGTTGATTTTTTTATATGCATTTGGTGACTGGAGGAGTTAATCACGTTCTGAAAGGAAAAACTATTCTTTTCTGTTTTATAAGATTGTAAAGTAGTTCTCAATTCATTTTATAGGATACTGGTGTTACTAGTAGAGATCTAATTAGTCGAAGGATTAAAGAATACTCTACATTGATGAGGTAAGTGAATCTTTTGTTTCTAGTAGTTTTTGTAGAGTTCTTCTCTAGATCATTTTACTAAAGTAGTGTATCTTGTTTAGTTCTTCGAGCAGCAAAACAGAGCCATCTCCCAAAACACCTCGCCAGAGTCTAAGTATCAGACAGACTCTACTTGGAACTAAAGCAGAGCAGAGGACTCAGAGTCCACATTCTCCTAAGGATGAGTCTGAAAGGAAGCTTCTCACTAAAGGTCTGTATGTTTTATGTATTTCTTTAGTTCCTTACTGCCCTAGTGCAAGGCCATCGAGGTATCCTTCTCAGTTTTTTTGAATTCATTAATGTGCAGATGCAAACCAAGTATTAGACAGGATTTTTTAAGCTGCAGCTCTAATCACTCATTTCTTGTAACCACTTCATTTAGACGTGACCTTAAGATATGTTTCAGATCTTCTCAGATCCCTGAAGCTTTTTATTTCAGTCCCTTTTCAAGAGGATTTGGGTTTTTTTTCCCCTTACAGCTTCATGTAGTGTTAACAGTAGTAAAATACAGGTGTTAAGCTTCTTGTGAGCAGTATTTTGCCAAGCTTTGGAAATAATTTTGTGTGTAATTCATACTTTTGTCTCCAGCTGACTTGGAAGTGATAAGGTAAATTTGTATTTCACATATGCTCTTAAGAAACCAAAGTTTTTCTCTGAAATGTTTTTAAAGTAGAGAGGAACAGATTTTTTCATTGTCTTTATCTTTAAAATGCAGGAGTGAAATTATATTTTTTTTTCCAGAACAAAATTACTGCCTGCTGAGTTCTAAAAAAGTCCAGTGAGCTGGCACTGCAAACTTGAATCAGTGTCTGAACTTCATCAAATAATGTCACAAACTACTCTTTTTTTTTCTTTCCTTCTTTTTTTTTTCCCCCCACATAGTCTGTAAACATATGGTATTTTGGATCAGAGTGTTGTTTTAAGACTCTTGTATGCAAATTAAGGCAACTGGATTAGCAGTCACTTTTGATCAACCAATTTTGAACTATTCAGTCTTGAATTTAAGCTGTGAGTGAATTCTGGTTTTTGTTCCCAACACATGTCCCTTTGCTCCTGCTATGCTACACATTATATAACTAAATTGCACATGTTAAGTAAATGTCAGATCTACTGAAATAATATTTCCAGAAAAAAGAACGAAGTAGTATTGTACAAGGTGACTTGCAGTGCAGGATAATTGGGAATTGCAATTTGTGGTGAGCACTGTACAGGAGACGTAAACAAACCAGCTGAACTTCTAATCTGATTCTTGGATGGAGAATGCTTTTAAGTGAGTCCTGTTTGGAACGATTTCAGAGTGACTAAAATCCAGTAATTTGTGAAAGAGTGAGTAGGTCTGCACAAGTGTGAGCGTGGCTGTAGAGTTTGGTGGGTATTTTGTGCAGCAAAATTTGTGATTCGATAGAGAATGTTGTGCTACTAAACATAGATTTTATTTTTCTTAGATGTAGTTTATGTACCTTTAGTCTTTATGCACCTGTAGTCTTAGAATGATGAAATTCCACAGCACTATCTGGCTACTTGCATTTTGAAGTTTGGAGTGTGAGTATGTTCAGATTTATCTTTTACACCATGGAAGAGTAACAGAAGGTGTATTTAAGACAAACTAATGTTTATTGAGTTGTTGTGGAAAGCCAGATGAGTAAAAGATAAAAATGCAGCAGGTGTCACTTGCTCTTTGCAAATCTGTTACCTGTATTGACAGTTGATTTTGTGACTTAAATGTTCTTATTTTTCTTCTTTATTTCTTTTTTTTTTTTTTCACTATCCTAACAAAAAACCCAAAACAAAAGATGAGACAAGCCCACCAAAAGACAAGGGGACATGGAGAAAAGGCATTCCAAGCATTATGAGGAAGACATTCGAAAAGAAGCCATCTGCTGTTGGAACATTTGGTGTCAGGCTAGATGACTGCCCCCCAGCTCATACCAACAAAGTATGGAAGTACAGTTTTTCTTTCATTGTGATTTTAAAATAATTTTTTGATTAATTGCTTATATATATATTACTCTTCTCTTTCTTCAGTATATTCCACTGATTGTTGATATATGCTGCAAACTAGTTGAAGAAAGAGGTCTTGAGTACACAGGTATTTACAGAGTTCCTGGAAATAACGCTGCCATCTCAAGTATGCAAGAAGAGCTCAACAAAGGAATGACTGACATTGATGTTCATGATGATGTAAGTCTTGGATCACACTATTTTCATGTTAAAATCCCAAAAACTTCTGGTTGTGTTGTGACTATAGAAATATAAAGCATGTCTGACCTTTTCTTTTAAATATGTAGAAATGGCGTGACTTGAATGTGATAAGCAGTTTGCTGAAATCCTTCTTCAGAAAACTCCCAGAACCCCTTTTTACCAATGGTAAGTAGTTTTCCTTACAGTTTTATCTTTAGGAATTGCTGTTGAATAGTTGCCTTACAACATTCAGATAATTTGAGAGAAAATCCAGTGGAATCATCCCAACTCTGCAATAAGTGTTCTCTTTCTTAAAGAGCAGGGAGTCAGGGCAATCACAGAGCTTAAGAATGAGATCTGTAAATAGAATTTCTCCGATGGTAATGATGAATATTCAAAAAAAGAGAAAAATTTTCAGTTTTACTGTTGGAATATTCTATAAAAACTGGTTTTTTTTTCTCCTACTGCCATCTTATTATATTATATACAGTATAATGGGCTAATTTATGACTTCCAGGGGCCATTCTTTTAATAAGTTACTTGTGTTCATGGGTGAATGGGGCTGGGAGGTGGGGGTGTATATACATACATATTAGATATAAAACCTTATGTATATGTGTATATATATATGTGATTTATTTCTGTTTTTTTAACAGACAAATATGCAGATTTTATAGATGCCAATAGAAAAGAAGATCCTGTGGAGCGTCTGAAAACACTGAAGAGACTGGTAAACTGAAATCAGTCGTGTTGTCGGTGCACCACAAAATTAGCATTAAATGTTTAATGTTCTGAGTAGTGATTGTTTGTTTCAGATTCATGATTTACCCGAACATCATTATGAGACTCTCAAATTTCTTTCTGCACACCTGAAGACAGTAGCAGAGAACTCAGAAAAGAACAAGGTATCAGAAACAAAAGTATAATGTATTTTTGTTTGTTTCATGAAGTATTATTTTTTGTACAGGATTATCTCTTAATTGAGGGGATAATTTATTGTTGTGGCTGAAATTAAGACTTTTGGATTAGGCTGCAAAAATGTGCACCTGCTTAGTGTGAATTAGTTTTTTTCAAACTGGTATTAATTTTTGTGGGAATAACTACTTACATCCTAATTTTATCTGAAGTCTGTAAACTTCAGTTAGTCCAATCTAGACACCTGTAAGAGGGTGCCTGGGCCGGGCACAGGTGAACAACTCTGTTGGCACACCAGCTTTGTGTGAAGCCTCACTTCTGGACGCTTCAGAAATTTGTAAGACTAAGACTTGCTGTAGTTACTTGAATGTTTGCTGACCCCACAGATGCTGTTTTGTCTGGTTTTAAGAAAGACAATTCATGCTGTACACGGTGGTAGTTCATCACTACAGGGTCTTTTTCCACCACTAAGTATAACTTTCTGTAATTTCTGTGGGGTGGGGAAGATGTAGTTTGTGTTAAATGCTTCTGTGTGTGCTGTAATCCTGCAGTAAATGCAAATAACAGTATCCCCTTTGTTCAGCTCTCAGGGAGGGGTAGCTGAGTGCAAAGCCATCCACAGTATGGGTGTGCTTATGGATGCTTATCTCTGGGCAGGTAATGTGGTGGCTTGTTGCTTGGCTACCAATGTGCAGGGTACAGGAAAAAAAATTATGTAATTGATGCTCTATAGAGGTGCCTACAGCCAATCTTAAATCATTTAAAATATAAGAATAATTTAAAAGCTGACATTATAACGACATTATAATAAATGTAATTTTTAAGTGCAATGCCTAAAGGAAGCTTTTTTTATAATTTTGCAGTATCGATGTGCTCTATAAATGTTGTTTAATACTGTTAATATTATACAATATATAAGGCTAGCGGAGTGAGGTGATGCTATAACTGTATGACTTGTCCAAGGACACAATTCAAGTCCAGGAGACCTTTAGGGGCCTGTGTCATATTTGCAGCCTGCTTCTGGTAAGCACAATGACCTTGCCTCCTGTATATTATTGGTCTTTTCTATACCAGAACAGTAAACTGTAAGTCAGAGAAGTAAGCAAAAATAGGAGGTAAGTATTCTGCTGCGGCTTTCTTGAAATTATTTGTCAGAGATGTAACAGCAGTCATATACTTAATTTACTTTTCATGTTGTGACATGGTCACATAACTCTGTCTCATGAATAGATGTGTTGGGTCTATGATGTTTGTTTGCTGCCACTGCCTCCAAAGTTGGTGCAAATTGAATGAGGTCTTTGTCCGTAGACAAAAAACGGCATTTGATTACCAGCCTAATTTTTTGTGTGTCTTGTAAACATTTTCAGAAAAAAAACACAGAGAACTACCAATGCCTTTTTATAAAACAAAAAATTCTTAAAACAACTTTTCTGAAAAGAAGTTTTTCTACATGGGAAGAAAAAAGATTCCCCCCCTGAAAGTGTAAAGAATATTTTCTGTGCTTGTGGAGCCATTTGCTTGCAGTGGGTTAAGGAAGGTTGGAATTTTGAATTGTAGAAATGTTGAATGTATTTATTGCAGCTGCATGTAGGAGAGATTTGGTGTAGTGTATGCCACCTGAGTCAGTAAGGTGTTTTTAAAAAAACTTTTTATGTCTTTATTTAAAATGGTTCTCATATATATTAATAGTATTATATTAATTTACTTAGCCCATATTACTGTATTTTCTCATTATAAATGTATGATGTGGAAATATTTCGTTTCTTAGATGGAACCAAGAAACCTGGCAATAGTATTTGGTCCAACACTTGTGAGGACATCTGATGATAACATGACACACATGGTTACGCACATGCCAGACCAATATAAAATTGTAGAAACACTCATCCAAAAAGTAAGTGGATGCATTTCATTATTTAAAATTAAGAGCATACACAGATCAACCGGCTTTTCTCTCACTGGGCCAGTTTGGGTCTGGAATTTATCCATCAAAGTGTCATTTTTAGTAATGTCCGTGTTAGATTGTGCCACTTTTGGGGTCTGTATTTCCTGTGGGGTTTTCACCTTTTTTATTTTAAATTGTAGCATGACTGGTTTTTCACAGAAGATGATGCTGAAGAACCTCTTGTAAGTATTGTGACATAAATACTTGTGTTGTAACTATCTTAGTTTAGAATCTGCTTCTGCTGCCTCTAGAATGTCTGTATATTTCTTATTACGTTCCTGTATGGTTTGCTCTTCAGAAGCACATTTGTAGCTTTCCAGTTCTTGTAGTAATGAATTTTATTTTTTTTTTAAAAAGCAAGCCATGCATTTGTTTTAAAAGCATAAAGGAAAATAGGACACGCTTTCCTCGTGTTCTTCAGGTGAATAATGAAGTTTTCTAAATGCTGTTGAATCGTAATGAACTATTTGTGAAACGATGATGAAGAGATCTTTGTTTATTAACCATAGACAGCAGTTCAGGAAGAAAACACTGTAGAATCTCAGCCAGTGCCAAACATAGATCATTTACTCACCAACATTGGAAGAACGGGAGTATCTCCTGGAGACGTATCAGGTAACTCTTGCCTGGACAGTGTTAATCCACAGGCTAGAATAACCTACTCTCTTAACTCACTGTAACTCTCTCTTCCTATTTTCTGGTACTAATAAAACCTTTTCCTCTTTTCTGAAAGACCATTAACACTTCTGAAAGACTTGAATTGTTGATAATCATGCATGACATAATTTGCGAAACTTTTTTGTATAACAGGAATTTGATCATTAAAAGATGAGGTTTGCACATACTACTTTATTTATTCACAGTAACCCATGCAATCATCATCGTGAGGTGAAGCAGATATGCTGCTGTGAAGGGGTTTGTTGTGATGGCAGAAAGACTGATCTTCGGTGGTGGTCTAATATTGCTCCTTCCCAACGTTAGGAATGCAAAAAACTGAGTTATGTTTTCTTGTCAAGTGATGGACACTTGAAGTATGTTGCAGTATGTCTATACTAAAGCTGATTTCCTTCTGTTTATAAATGCCATCCTCTTTTGTGGCTAAGGACAAGCATTACAGGCTCTTTTTTGGTGACTTTTTTCCCTCCTCCCTTCACTATGCTATTGCACTAACCCAGCATGTTGTATCCCACAAATGTTATCCCTCGTCTCTAGCTTTTGTTTCAGTTTCCAAAGGGTTGTTCAGCATTTACTGAAACAGTCACTTTGTACTGATGTTGTAACAGGCGAAGTGGGAGGAGTCTATCACACGGTGATGTCATTAGTGGATTCTGTGATGTCAGTGATGGACAGCTGGAACTGTAGGAAGAAGGAGGACTGTTGCCCACACTGTAGCTGCCTTGTCTGCAGAAACCCCCGTTTCTTGTAACTGGAAAAAACCCCGAGTTGATCTGTGCTGTAAATTTTCTTTTAAGAGTATTTTAAACAGATCAATGCTACTTTTTAAAAGTTTTTCTGCTGTTTCTTGTTATCTCTGAAGCAGACCCTGAGGAGAAATAGCATGGTATGGTCTACCAGTCTTTCTAGTCATAAAGCATTAGCCATGTGTCAAAAAGGGGTGTGGCAGGGGGCTCAGCTCTTTCTTCCAAGGGAGAAAGTCCCTAAAGCTGGAACACATCCACGTTCATATTTTTTAGTCATTGTGCTAGCCCCTTCCTACCCCCTTTATAATTGTATAATCTTGGGTTTTGCGAGACAGTGAAACTATGGTGTCCATTTTTCATTTCATAAAAGCGCTTGTTATGGAAAAGTACAAAACTGGTAGCTGCTGAAATCTAGCAGATTTTAAAATAAAATTTTACCTGTATGTAGTAAGAGGTGGAGGGAGTTGTATAATTGGGGTTTTACACACAAAATATGACTTAATTCCTTTAAAAACTCACAAAAAGTATATGACTACAAGAACCATGATTTATAGCTAGGAAGCCAGATGTACTAAGACACCCAGTTTTGCTTTGTGTATCCTGAATCTCAGGAGAGTACACAGTGCCATCCTGAAAAGGTCTCTCAGCTGCGGTTTTGCAGGGGCTGTATACTTTAAGCATTAAATAAACATTAGTATTTCTGTTTTCTATTTAGAAGAACAGGGCTCCTTTGCCATTCCTATCATTGAGCTGGTTCTGCCTACAATTCACAGCATCCTTTCATGGCGGTGGCTTTCTGTGGTGCAGCTTGCATCTTTGTGAGCTCTGACTATTCACTCTGTTCTGGTTTTTATTTGCTTCACATCTTGTTCTGTGCTTGTCTTTTTCATAAGTCCAGCATTGTCTGTAGTAACAAAAAAAATTGCACAGAACTGAGCAGAATTTTTTTTCATTTTTCTACAGATTCGGCTACTAGTGACTCAGCAAAATCTAAGGTAAATCATTTTGTGATATGATGTAGTTGTACTATAGAGTTTATGTAGAATTTCTGGAATAAGTGGTAATACTGTTTTCTCATAACATAGTTTTGAAGTGGTATACTGGAAAAGTGTCACTTGTGTGCAGTCAGCTGCACACATCAACACCTTTGTTCCAAACTCTCACAATTGTGAGCACTTATCTCCTTTTTGCACCTCATTTAGTAGAGGTAAATGTTCCCTGTTGTTGGCGTGCTACTCACTCACAGCCAGTATTTATGCTTCCCTATTACACTGAGAAAAGGGCAATACTTAGAATTCAGCCTGGTCTTCTTGAGAAGGAAGTAGCTCCTCCTTTTATAGGAAGGCAAAGGTTGTAGTTAAAGGTTGCTCTTCAGAATCTCCTAGGAAGTATTGCTGTGCTTGGGAGGACAGCCGTGTAGATGAGGGGAGTAACACTGGTTCAGGGTGGGACATCACAAAAGTGGGCATTTGTTCAATCCTCAGTTTAATGACAAAGTTCTCATCTAACGTGGACAAGTCTCTGTCTCTTGGGCTGTCTGGTGATTCTGACACTGGATGTCTGTAGCACAGGGTGAGAGGGCAGCACACAGCTGAGCTCACCTTTATGCTGGTGTGTGTACAGGTGTGTCACTGGTGCCCCCCTCTGAGTTGAGAACAAGACTCAGTGCCTCCTTCTGGCTCACCGTGGAGGTGAGGGTGTTTGGTGGCTCAGCCGTTACCTCCAAATAGCCCCATTTTCAGGACACCATGTCATGCTGCCTGTGGCAGTGGGGCAGGGGGTAGGAAGGGTTCGTAGCTTTGGTGGTGGTGGTGGTTCGTGGCCAGGTGGTGATGTCGTCACGTAGTGAAAATAGTTTTTAATTCATAAAATGGAATAATTCGGCTTGTCCCTTTATTGCTTCAGTGCTATTCTAAAGGTATATAAGATTCTTCAAAAATCAGGAAGAAGTTTATTTCTGTTCATTTTCTACATTTCTAAACTAGAGTTTTGAATAGCATTCATTTTATTGGAAGTAATGAATGGTACAATTTAAGCACTCAGTCTGAAAGGTGAAAGAGGAACTGAATAGTTTGAGAAATTACCCTTTTTGTATAAGTAAGACCTTGAAAAAAGGGCTTGAAACCACACTCTTGGGACCTCATCTGTGAAGCAGTTACTGGGTCAAACTGGTCTTGAAAAGGTTTCTTACTGCAGTGAGGGCCTGCTTTATTAGTCAACCAAAAACTGAATAGCTGTATACGCAAACCTAGTCTTTTTTAAGTTGAAGGGACTCAGATAAAAAGTGGAGTTCTCAGGATGAAAATTGACTTCTTGGCCAATTTAGACTACAGAAAGAGCATGGAAATGTTCCTGAATAAAGACAGACTTTATACTGGGAAGCTCAGGATGTGCTTTTAAACAGTCTCAGGCTAACGATTCTTTGTGATTTTTAATTATGCCCTCTCCCTTTTTTTTAACAGGGTTCTTGGGGTTCTGGAAAGGATCAGTATAGCAAGGAACTGCTTGTGTCCTCCATTTTTGCAGCAGCTAGTCGCAAGCGGAAAAAAACAAAAGAGAAACCACAACCAAGTAGTTCAGAGGATGAGTTGGATAATGTGTTTTTCAAGAAGGAGCTTGCAGAGCAATCTCGTGGTGACACAACAAAAGAGGACACAGCTAAAGGGGAATATGAAAGAGAGAGAGAGATAGGAAGAAAACAGAGGATGTTTGTCCTGAAGGAAAAAGAGAACAGCAGTAAAAAAGATGTGAATGTTGTAAAGGATGAAAAGAAGTCATTGAAGAAAGAAAGTATCCTGTCAGAGGAACCTTCACTGCCTTACCATGAAAAATGTACAAAATCATCGAATCTCAATTGTCTGCAAACCATGCAGAAGAATAACCCAAAAATGCCTATTTCACAATCTTCTTCCCAGGTTGAGGAGACAGTGTCTGACTCTGGCACTATGCTAAGCACTTCCTCCCAGGCTTCCCAGCACAGATACTCATGCAAAAAAGTAGCCAGCCCTGAAATTAAACACAATGAGTTTTTAGCAGCTGATGTCAGCTCCATCACCTCAGACTATTCAACTACTTCATCTACTATGTATCTGACTGGTTTAGATGCCAGCATGCTGAGCCCTGAGGTGCAGTCAGTGACAGAAAGCAAGGGAGAAGATGCCGATGATGAGAGAAGTGAATTGATCAGCGAAGGGCGTCCTATGGAGACAGACAGTGAAAGTGACTTCCCTGTCTTTGCCACCAGCGCTGCTGCCGAAAGGCTTTCCAAAGGGAAAGTTTCGGAAGTGGTGAAGACCAGTCGGAGGAACTCAGAAGAAAGCGAAGTAAGTTGTACTGAGGGAAGTTCCACGCCAAAGTTAGAGAGTCGCAGACTTTTTAGCTCACACAAACTTATTGAATGTGATACACTCTCCAGGAGAAAATCTGCACGGCACAAAACGGACAGTGAAGGTTCAGGGGATGCAAAGAGTGAGAAGGACTTGCCTACTGTGACCAAAATGTTTGACATCATGAAAAAAGGAAGATCAACAAGCAGTCTAGCCTCATCAGCCAGAAGCGAGGCTGACAAACAAGAACCTACCTGGAGACTTAAAATTACAGACAGGTTAAAGCTGCGACTCAAGTCATCTGCAGATGACATGTTTGGAGTTGGGAATCAAAAAGCTAATTCCGCAGAGACTGCAAAGAGAAAAAATATCAGGCGAAGGCACACGCTTGGAGGACAGAGGGATTTCGCTGAAATAAGTGTCCTGAATGCTTGGAAAGCTCAGGAGCCAAGTCAAAGTAGAGAGAGAGAGTCTGAGCTTTCAGCTGTGACTCGGTTGAAGCCCAAATGTCCAGCACAGGACCTCTCAATCTCAGACTGGCTTGCACGAGAACGTTTACGCACTAGCACAACTGACCTTAATACGGGTGAAACTGGAAAGCCCAGACTTGAGAACACTAGCTTAGCAGATGTATCAAAGGAAGACCTGCCCTCATCTGCAGACATGCAGGCAGATGAAGGCAGTTCTTCCAGCAGCTTGACTTTAATTAATAGAACACCGCCGTCGGGACCATTTCAGCCACCAGACCAGGTAAATGGTGAAAATTATCAGAATATGAACAAAACCAACTTCAGCCCAGCAGTTGATGCCCATCCTCATAAACTGTCTGGGACCCAAGTGGTTAGATCTCGATTCTACCAGTATCTTTGAAATGGGAAGGTGTGTCCACTGCAGCAATTCATTAACTTACTGTTACACTTCCCAGTAACTCTGTGTGTGTGTGTGTGTGTGTGTGCGCGTGTGTGTACATATATATATATTTTTCCTGTACTGTTGTTGTTATGCAGCCTTCATTTGGGCTGGTTTCATCAATATGCTCTGTGGAACGTCTTCACAGTGCATTACCACAGCCAGAAGAACACTAAAGTATATATATATATTTTAAGAAAAAGTATATTTGATGGCTGCATACAAATGTTGAACAAAGCATCTGATGCAACATGCTGTGTAGTGTATACATGGTTTTTCTGACTGAGAGTTGGCCTGGCATTAGTATGCAGGAAAATTGTTCTTTTGGTTTAGTCACTAACAAGTGCCTCATCATAAATTCATTTGGTTTGTTAGGGTGCCATATTGTTAAATTAGAGAAACTTATTACAAACAAATGAATGCATTTTACTGTTAATGAGTTTCATTACATTTTACAAATGTTAACACAGGTGGCTACAGAGCTTCCATTCCTTAGGCATTCCAGTAAATATTGGAGTTTTATATTTCCAATTTTAATACAGATTTTGAGTTTTATGTGACTTGAATTTCTAATCTTTCTGTAAAATAAGTAACTTAAATGTACATATTACATGTGTATCTTTTCTTCAGATACCAGATTTGATATAAATGTTGTAACATAGGCGTGTAGATAGTGGATACTGGATGGAACTGGTTTCTTTTATCGAGAATATAATTCTGCATGAAGACCTAATGAATCCAAACCTGTATCATGCCTGTGTGCATACCCACTTAAACACTGGAAATAAAATCGTTTTGGTGACTCTTTGTGTGATTCGAATTCTTTCTAATGAGCTGGTTTAGAATGTCGCATTTACAAGCTGCAGTTGGCAAATGCTCTCACCAGCCCTGCACTTCCTCCTGGATGAAGTAGACTTCTTTTCAGACTTTTTTTTTGTGAGACAACACTGTGGATTTTAGCATGTGGGAGAGATTCAGTTGGGTAAATATTTTCATCTTGATACATAATTTGCTTCTAAGGTATGTAGCAAGTTGATTTAAGACACAGGTTTTGTAGCCCTGAAAAAAAAGCATATCCCTGATCATCCTCATGTCATAATGAGTGAAGATCTGTATCTGCCAGTCAGAACAACACTGTAGTTTAGGTCTTGGACTTTTTATAGTTTTAACTACAAAGATGAGTTTCTACCTTAAAAGCCCTTCTGTGTGTGAGCTCCATACCAGTTATTTTTTTCGTCTGTTCTTGGACACCTCCTTGACAACAAAGCAGCTGTTCTTTACTTGGAGTACCCCCATATCTTACACTGTTGCTTGCTTGGCAGAGCATTAAACCTGTGTCGATGTGTCCAGTGGAAGAGAAGGAATTGTGGTACTAGGATGTATTGGCTGATATGTTTCTAAGCAGACCTTGTTTTTTTCCAGAGTGACTGCAAAAGTCCCATGCTTTGATTTACTGTGGTTTTGATCCTTGTGAGGAATCATTATAAGAATTGGCTGTGAAGAAAATTGTCAAATATGACAGTTGAGCTCTGGGAAAGTTCTCACATAATTGGGTCCACCTAGTACCAGGTTCCATAAAAATGGACTATGTTTTTGTGTTGTCCTTGCAAACTAAAGTGTCTTTTCCCCCCAGAGAGAACAGGAAGCAGGTGCATTAGATGCATTCCTGTGTGCCATGTGAGGAAGAAGGGGTGTGTTTTGTGAAGCACAAAGTAATTGATGATGATTTTTGTTTCAGTCCTAATAGTTAAGTGTATCTGAACGAGAGATTTCAAAATCACAACAAAACGTTGTGATGCCTCTGTAATGCTATTCATGAGCAAGCAGCCATTGTCTTTTACTTGAAGTGCATTTTGTCCCATCATTACTTTCAGAGGCTTGTCAGAATGTGTGCTGAGCATCCACAGCAAGGTGCAGGGGTCTTCTCAGTGAAGCAGTGTACTTACAGAGGTACGCAGGGGTCTGGGGCTCTGCATCTTACTCTGATTTGACAACCATTTGGTGAATCAAGTTAATTGTTGTTTTGTTGTGTTTATAGATGACTGATAATTTTAATCCTGAAGCTACATGCATGACCGCCAACATTTATGCTTGAGAACATAGAACTGTAATTGTATTGACTCAAAAAGAACACCACATCATCTGAAAAATTAGAACTTGCTAAAAATAACCCACACAAACCAGGAATTGCATTGGCTGACAATTCTGCAGGTACAAATTGAAGGCCTTATCAGCCTCCATGGTATTGTTTGCTGCTGCACTGGCAGTGTGGACGCTGCAGGGCAGCAGCAGAAGGAGCTTGGACATAAGTCAAGGATGGGCATGTAAGAAAGGGATTACAGCCATTTTGACCACAACTGCTCCACCCTTTTCAGGTACATCAGCTCTTGAGGGAGATGACCTGGCAGGCAGGGTGGGAGGGAGGGAAGATCTGGGGAAGCCCTCGACTTGAAGGAGAGATGCAGAGAGCAAATCTTTCAGGTGCATCAGGGAGAGGTTACTGAGCTCTACCTTAAGAAAGTAGTGTGTGACTTCTTATCATAGTGTGGAAAAACGCTGATGCTTTTTATGCTCTTTACTTGCTCTATGCTATGCTTTTTACTGCCAAGATTTGGAGCCACTTTAAATTTTGACCAGTGTGGCAAGAGATGACAGATAATTTTAGGAGTCATTGCTATGCTCTGATCTTAACAACAGCTGCCTCAGACCCTTAACTGTAGATTTTTTTGGACTGTATTGGGTTTTATTGTATTTCTGTTTTCTCCCCCTCCTGTTGAACAGAAAAGTGACAGTCTGATTGACTCAAGAAGGGAAGTGTGTGTATACAGTAGGCTGTCCTGAGGTAGATACTGTTAGTGCCAGTATTTCCTCTAGAAGCTGCATTCAGTGGATGGGCAATTCCACAGTTGCAGTGCAGGTGAGGTGGGCAGGGACCTGCTTCACCCCAGCTCAGTCAAGTGCAGCCAGGGCAGGTTACTCTGGGCTGGGGCTGTGGTTGGGTTTTGAACATTTCCAAGGATGGAGGCTCCAGAGCCTCCCTGGGCAACCTGTGCCAGTGTTTGGTCCCGCTTACAGTGAAAAGGGGTGCTTCTTTTATGTTTAAGCAGAACTTCTTAACATTGCCATTTGTGTCTATTTTTTGTTTCTCAATTTGTCCTCATAAGGATACAGACTGGCTTGAAAAGTACTTCTGGTCTGAGGACTGCTTGGAGCTGTGTAGCTGCAAGTTGGGACAGGCCTAGGCTGAGATCTGAATGGGAAATAATGGAAGTATGAACTGTGTTGGTAGCAATAGTGTTTGGATTTTTAAAATGGTTCCTAACAGCAGCTCCTACTTCAGTGGGGATTGGTGGTTTAGTCTGAATGGCCTTTTCTGGGTTCTGGTAGCTGGAAGGTTCTGTATGGCTGCTTTTTGTAAGACTTTAAAGGGCTTGTAAAGGTCCCCCTTAGTATTGCTCACAGCACCGATAATGTTGAATTAAGGCATGGCCCAGTTCAGACAGTTTCTTAACTTCCTTTGTGCTGCTGCAGAGCTGAAGGAAAATTCTTTGCGAAGCTGCACATAAGCGTCTCAGGTTCTTCTCTGCAGCATCTGAAGAGAACCTCTCTACTTTGTTCAGGCAGGATGAAAGAGTTTGAAATGTGGCCTCATCTGCTACAAAAAGCTGCGATCTTGTTTTCAAAGCCAGGTCATTACAGCATTCTCATTTGCATACTAATCAAGCCATTAATTGTGCCAGCCTGTAGAAATAAGGGTGTAGGCTGATGCATGGCTGGGAGCAGAAATGGCTTAAAACAGGCCTGCTGCCATCGCTGAAGTGGTGCGTGTACCTGTGGCTCCTAGTCATGAGATTGTAAAAATCTGCCTTGACCACCTGCTCTTGAACCGGTGATTTTTAAGCACGATCGAAGAGCTGCCTCTTAGTGGGGATCAGATGGATTTTGACCCTGTACTAGTTCTAGGCAGAAATGTCCTGCACATCCCTCCTTTTTCCTGCTCTGTGTATGTATCCTCTTCTGCTCTGGCTTCCCACCCGTGTCCTGCTCTGCGCAGGGGCTCTGTGCGGTGAGGAATCAGCTGGCACACAGGGATGGGGCTTACTCTGAAGTTCTGGGCTGGCTCAGACTACAACAGGCAGCAGGAAGGTCCTGCTCACCTTCCATCTTGAAGAGGAGTGGTGAACTGCCTCACTACTGGTGTGTCAGAGCAGTGAGGCCCAGGGCTGCTGTGCCAGTGCAGAACCCTACTGCAGTGGTGCCTGCTCCATGGCCCTTGTCCCAAAGTCCAGCTGCAGCAAACTACCAAAACTGCTCTTCCTAACTGCTCTGCAGTGAGAAACCTGGCTTCTTCATCACTGGCTGGAGCTGATTTCTTCTGTGCTCAAGGTATTTATTTCCAGACGTGATGATTTGTCTAAATACTCTGCCCAGTGTTCAGAAACATTCCTGGTGCTGAGCTACAGCCTGTGCACGGCTCTTTTCTGCCTGCGTTTGTGAATGCCTGGCAACTTCACTGCTCCACACACAGGATGGCGAGGGAGTGTTACTGCCTGACTCCCAAAGGTCCTGGCAGCGCTGCCTGTGCTGGGATTACGTGCGTTATGTGCTGGCTGAGCCTGCTCATGGTTTCTTGGCGGGTGCTGCACCTCAGCACTGAGCAGGTGCACAAAACGTGGAAGGTGTTGTGTTCACTCCCCGATGGCAATTTCCACATTCACCATCCCAAGCAATAATTCCCTGTGAGTACAGCACTGGCTTACTGCCCACTCCACACCAGTGACTGTGCAGGGTCATCGGTTATTTGTACAACCACGGTCTGTGAGTTCAGCCCGATACAGAGAATGTTGCCGCTGTAGCCCCTCGCGTGAGGAAGCAGCAGTGGGAGCAGTGCCAGAGCCACTGGGGACCCTGCCTGCTCATGGGGGATGTTGGACTAAGAGTATAAGAACAAAATCTGCTATGTCCATCATTTAGGTTGAGCTTGCATTTTGGCTGTGTACCGTAAAGGAGGAGTGTGGTACCAGGCCTGCTGGTGCTCCCTGTGTGTGCTGTCCGTTGTGTGGGGACCTGGTAACAGGCTGTGGCGTCAGATGAGGTGATTTCCCTTCAGAGCAAGGGAGCTGTGTACTCAGCATGTGAGGAAGTAGAAAACAGACCAGGCTTTGGAGCCACCAGTCACAGCTGCTCCGTAGTGGCTGGAAGAGAACTGGCTTCACTCTGGTGGTTCATTGTGGGCACTCTGAACATACCTAATGCTTCAATGTGGCTTTGGAGCCACCCAGCCTGTCCTGGGCTCGGCTCAGCCCCACACCGAAGCTCCTGTGCTCTGCAAGCGCCGGGGGCCTTTGCTGCCATGGCAGCCGAGGGGATGGCACCCGGCACGATCCTGCTGGAACTACACTGCGTGTTGTGTCTGTAGGGATGAGCTAATGTTTACATTCTCTAGTTACTCGCCGGCATGGGATGCACCATCTGAGAGCACAGCCTTGAAATGACATTTCTAAGAAACTTCCCTTTTCAGAAGGGGTAACAGAACAAAGAATACTTAAAGATGGAAGAGAAGATACCTCAGTCAGTCAAAGGTTTTTCTCTCCTTGCTGTTTTTCTAACTGGGAATTCCAGCAATGAGCTTTAATTTTAAAATAAGTAATTATGGATGGTTTTAATCCAGGAAAAATAAAGTCAGTTTTTCTCCTGATGGCTTAATGCTCTCAGGCAAACAGCTTAGCAGCTAATTGAGACCAGCCAAAAAGTTATTAGTGACAAAATACAAATATATAAGCATGCAGCCCTTTATTTTTGTAAAG